AAAGAGAGAGAATTCATCTCTAGTTCGTACAGGTTGTAAGGAACAGGGTGCTGTGTAGTTTCGGCGTGGATCAGAAGAGTAGGCACTTGTTGTAGTGGAGTAGTGCAGGGTGTTAGCAGGAGGGTGGCCTGGATTTTTCGGTCAGGGTTGATTTTTGGTTCTGCGCTGGTGGCATCATTGCGATGATTCCATCATTGGGTTCAGTACAACTCCAGTAACTGCGCAAATCTGTGCATGTAGAGGTCGAACTGTCGCCCCTTTTTGTGATTGAAGATATCCAGGTGTTTAGAAATGTTGGTTAGCTTCTCTTCCAACTCTTGTTCTGGCTTTTGCAAGATGGATTGGAGAGAAGCATCAAAAGCAGCTGCACTAGAAACATCCACTTGGTAGGTAACTTCCTCCCAGGGAACGAAATCTGGTAGTATTTGGATCTGTTTTGGACTGGTGATGAGTGGAATTGCACCACTCAACAGTGTGTCGATGAGACGGTTGGAGCCCCAAGTGTCACCACGGGCATGAAAGCCAAACCGAGCCTGTCCCAAGGCAGGACACTGATTGCCTCGTCCACACAGGGCCACAGTGTAGTTTTGATGCTTTTGGCCTTTGTGAAGCCAGTCACATATATGAGATCGATCTTGAAAAAGCTTGCTATTGGGTTTCAAAGTGGCAATCATGGCAAAATCTTTTGTCTTGTTGCTGTGATGAGGACAGGGCCGCCCAATGTAGAAGGAGGGGATGTGTACTCTGGGGGTTTGGTACTGTTTGGGTTTTCCAATGGCAGGAATGCGATGTTCAAAGCTGATGGTATTGCAATTGAGAAGATGTGAGTAGGACAACTTGTCCCAGTGCTTGCGCCAATGGGAATCAACAACGATATGATCTTGTCCTTGACTGCGTTGGTACCATTTAGATTCCTGGAGCAACTGTTCTGCTCGATGGAGCAACTGCATATTGCAAACCCCCTTGTGGGCACAGAATTTGTTTCTGCTGTGCCCCCCTTTGTAGCCAACCTTCCATGCTGAGAGAAGAGTAGGGACAAGGAAAAGTTTTGCCTTGCTTGGGTCAAGGGTTCGCATGGGATGTTGTTTGGCATGCTGGAGCAGCCAGTAGTCATCCGAATGCTTGAAATTCAAGTAGGCACTCTGATGCAGCAATTCACGCGATTGAGGCCACTATGGATGAAGGTGGCATTGACTGACCAGTCCAATTCATTGTCATAGATGTAAAAGGGAAGTTGAAACAGCGATGACGAATCCACTGCCTTCAATCGTTCCTCTGCTGCTGGAGTCGAGAAGGAAACTGTAATTTGCTGATCGGTTGTCTCGTTGCTGGACGCGGAATCTTCGTCATGATGCCATGGTGTTTCTAATCTCAGAGATGCTGCCATTCGAATGACAGAGGAGGAAGAGACATTGCTCATGAAGAGTTGTCGAAACGATGATTGGTCTCCCCAGAATGTCTGGGATTGCACAAGCACAAGTCCAAGGATTGATCCTAGCAAGTAGCCAACCTTGGGCTTGTTGTTGTTCAAGCCATTGCTGCTTCCGTTGCTCATGCTGCTGGTGGTGTTGTGTGTCGTGCGGTTTTCAAGGATGATTCCTCGTTGCTAACCTGATTACACTGAAAAGAAGCAAGCAACACAAAAGATTGGTGCTGTGGACAAGTTGCTTCTAGCTAGCGGTATCATGGCTTCGGTATCGTGGCTCCTGCGCATGTTGTCCGGAAGGCCGGAAGGAAGTGAAGAGTCAATTTTGTCCGCTACAGTGGTCGCAGCTCTGCCGTACCACTCCGGTGGAAAGAAACCGGAGCATCTCATTTCTTGCTTCGAACTTCGAACCTCCTATGCGTAGTCATTGCCTCTTATGAATGGCTTGCTCCATTAAAAAAGTTCGACTACAGGAGTTACAGCAATGAGTTTCGACTACTCGGAGCATTCTTCTTCTGCAATTACTCCGGTTTGGATGTCTGGAGTCTGGAGTGATAGTCACAGAGAACAGGGGGGTTGTGACGTTGTGACACTCATTGGTATGGGGGCCGCTTCATCAACCAACTATTTCATATGCATATTTGCGCCTTGAACAGAGTCCCAGCGAAAAACCCAGCGAAATAATGAACTGACTAGGGTTAAAGGTTTCAAGTTGCGCCGCCCACTTGTCATGCAATCCTACCTGGTACATGTAATATTTCTTTATTCATTTATTTCTCTATTTCTTTATGTGTAATTCTAAATAATGAAACCAACAACAGCTTCTCGTACTTTCAGCTCGGATTATGCTTGTGACAACAGGTCCACCAAGTCCTGCATCATCATCCCTCCATCACCCCCAACAGCAAATACAAAGAAGGCACCAAAGATCACTGCAGAGGCAAAGACCTCGTAAAAAATGGCCATTTTGCCTGTGGGCACCACCTTGTACTTCACCAATGTTGCCCCAAAAATTGCAATGTTGTTGACAAAACAAGTATTCAGGAACACATTCACAGCAAGATTGCTGTGGTCTGGGTGAGATGACGCAAATTGAATAATTTGCTCTTGTCCCACATTCCCACCCAGATGCATTAGCTCAAAACCAAAAACCATGATGGGTAGAGTGTAGGATAAGACTGCAGCTGCAGCATTTTTTAGAGGATTCTCATACCAAATGCCCGACTTTTGCTTTTCAGCTTCACTAGCACCACCTGAAACGAAGGATTGTGAACTTTGCCAGGCCGCAATGACAATGTTCAGTGCAGAGAACGCCATGAAGGGAGTGCTGCCAATTGAAACCAAAGCATCCTGCCCTTGTGTAAACTCTGTCACTGATGCCAAGACCAACCAGAGATTTTGGACTGGTACAGGCCAGATCATTGCATTTCGTGCTGCTTCTTTCTCATTCTTCCAGTCAAGCCTTGGAAGGCCCGCGAAGGCTACCAGTACATGCATTGCACCTAAGGCCAGAATTTTCTCCTGGGAGATAGGAGCTTCAAATCCATTGGTCAGGAGATGCATGAAATGCTGTGATCCAAATAGCACGGAGCCTAAGCCAAAAGCACTGTGTAGGCCTTGTTGGATGCTAGCAGTTCCAGCTCTGCCAAGCTGCTTCACACGCTTGTGTGAAATGTTTTTCACTGCTTTTTCTGGGGTGGAATGCTGCGGCTGAAGAACATTGATGCCATCTCCATGTTCCGTGAAATCTGATAATGCTGCGCTGGAGTGTGGCATCAATGGAGTATTACTGTCATGATGCAAATCTTTGTCAACGCCTGGCTTTGCAACATCAATGATGGGCTCAAAGAGTCCAGGGTCATGCTCAAATGTATCAAAAACATTGTTGGTGACATCGATCCGTGATGCAAAGAGCACAGGACTTTGCCTGTAGGGGGGTAAATTGGTGCTTGCCTGCATGTGGTTTGTGAGGCCACTGACTAAAGTGCACAAACAAATTGAAAGAACCAGTTTCATTTTCTTGGTTGTATTAGGGATACCGGTACTGTAGTTGGTTTGGTAGGTGTTTTTGTAACACTGGAGCTCTTGATTATGATATCTTCGAGGAGGCGAGCTGATCTGTTTGGAATTGATGCTATACCATTTTGCCATGCAGAATGTACGCAGTGTTTTTCCCGCTTGGTCTCTGTGACCAGTCATCTCCACAAGTGAGTAACGGCGCATACAAGTCTTCTCTATCGGAAGTTGGGGTAAATATGATACGACTTGGCAAACAATAAGCAAAATCGTTTTTATTCTCACTACCCGGTCAAACTTGCAGGCATCCACACTAGACACTTCCACGCTCGACCCCACGCATAGTCTGGCAGCAAGGTTTCACAAGGGAATCAAACCGTACTAGTAACCATGGCCCAAATCCTCTTCCTTCGTAGCACGCATGCACACGACTCATTCTATTGTTACCGTTCATGGCCCAAAGCTGCTGCCCTAAGGTATGTCCAAGACCAGCACCAAGGCTTCACAAGGGAACCAAACCACGAGAACGTGGCCCAAACCTTCTTCCTTCGCTGATGGTCGGTCCGAGATTCCTTTGGGGGTTCACCAAGCCTGAAAGCAACGGAAGCAACTATGCAGTAAGTCTTTCTCTGTTCCAGCAGTATCCAGCTTTAAGCTGGGCAGCCCTCTGAAATGTTGTTGACGATCCGTGACGTTAGGTTGGGAAAACCCTAACACTACAGAGTTTGTATTACCCGGCAGAGCCACCAGGGCATCGAACTCAACCGAATGCACAGCATCAACGTCAAAGAAAGCCATTTCATCTTCATCGCTGGCTGGATTAGCGCTTCTAGCTAGCTGTGCAGCACGATAGGATAGATAGCACGAAGCCAGCAAAAACTAGCTAGCCCACCGTTACCCGCTTGGAGACGGGGGCCTACTGGCCAGCTAGATAGTATTGTAGTTATCTACTGAAGCCGAGAGAGGGACAGGCCTAGCTAAGCTCAGAAAAGAAAAGCGGAATTTTGAGCAAAACGGTGCAACCTTGGGGTTTGAAAAGTTGGGGTTTGAAAAGTTTTG